ACTCCACTGCCCTCCAAGGGGAAACCAGGTTAGCCTCCTCCTGCTGCTTCTGCTCCTGCTTCCTCCATCCAGCCCTGCCAAGGCAGCAGAGCTGTGCTTTTAAGATCTCTGCTTTTAGCTCTAGTGCTTGTGCATGCAGCTCTGAATGCTCAAAATTAGACCTCTGGAGAGCATCACCCTCAGCAATTGGCACCGGTTGCAGGGATGGAGTGAGGAGGGCTGGATACCTGGCAGAGTATCCAGTATCAGCACAGAAGAGCCAACCCGAGCTGCGGGGTGTGATGGGAGAGTAACACCTGCGCTCGCCTCACTCTCCGTGGCTCCACTTTCCCCGGAGATCGCGGCGCCGCTTTTGTTGGCTGCTGCCACTTGGCGAGCGCGGTGCGCACAGACGGGGCGTCGCTCTGTGAGACCGGGAGCGGCCATCGTTTTGTCACAGCAAAATTGAAGCTGACAACACAGACAAGCCATAATGTCACGCGATTAATTTTAAAAGTCTTTCCTCTTCAGAGGAAAAAGAGAAGAAACGCGTTCTTGATTCACGGCTGCCTCCCAGGTCAGAGGGATGCCGTGCTGCTCCAGCTGCAAAGTGAAGCCTCGTGCTGGAAACACTCACGCCTACAACTGATGTTAAGAGCTGTGAGCCCCGTGACTCACAGGGCCACGAGACTCCAGGGTTACGGCCCTTTGCAGGGTTGTAGCCACAGCATGAAGAGAGGTGGCCATCTGCACGGTCAGTGGTTCTCACTACTGACTGCCAGCCCAGACTGGGAGCAGGGATGAGTTTACAGAGCCTGTCCCAGAGAGCTGATTTTAAAATAGCTTTCTTTTTTTTTTTTTTTTAAATTGAAATACATTAAATGATTTTAGAAAGATGATAACTAAACGTTCCATTATTATTAAAATATATATCAAGAATGTACAACAATTTATGTAGCTTTATAGAAAGAAATCTGCAGTTTTTAAAGCTCCGAAGTGTTAAGAGCTGTTCGCAGGTAAGTCTTTGCTGAGCATCAGATCCTGGGCTGCAAAGAAGTGAGGGTCTTCTTGTGCCCCCAGGGGAGAGCCTCAGCTTGAAAATGAGTTCAGTGCCAGAAAACCCTGCCTCGAGGCAAAGTCTTCTTTTATAATCTGTTCACTAATACAAAAGTGCATTAATACAAATATGGTGAGTGGATGAATCTAATTTGTCATGTTGCCTCTGGGCAGACTAGATCTAACTTTTAGCCTAATTTCGTTACTTGGCGGTTAAGTGAACCATCTGATCTTGTACCCCGTGGTCATTACTAGCTGTTAGAGGTGAAAAGTTCACTGCTTCGACAGATTTTCTCCTATGAGTGTTTGCTTTGATGCTTCTTTCACTGAAATTACGATTTGGCCTAACTTGAAGTTAAAGTCTACACTCAGGAAGTGTAATTGTGTGCTTTATTAGATTCATTAAACTGGATTTTTATCTAAGGCCTATTAAGAGGTCTACAGACTTTTATCAGCATTACTTGTCTTTATACACCCCTCCTCCTTGCCTCTTTTGTTTCCCACATCTCTAATACAATGAGAGTCTCGGGACATGGCTGAGATTCCTGGAGAGTCCAGGGAGGTTTACACTAGGCATAGGTGATCTCCTAGCACTAGTCATCGTGTTAAATGTAATTCCCTCAAAATTGCCCTATCATTTTTTCCCTTATTAAAGCAATTTTGCAGTTTCATTCAAAATCTCTCCTCTCCTCCTCCACTTACAGCGTAAAAATCTTTAAACTCTTGAGTAAATGCGGCAATTTCGTAAGTTTTTCTATGCTGAAATGTTGGGTTTAATAAAAAAAAGGTGATTGACCTTTTCTTCAGCACTTATGTTCCTCTGAAAGGGATAAAGTAGATAAAGACTGAGCCTTCTTGGGTTTCTGTAATTTAAGGATGAAAAGCCTTGCTGAGCAATTATGGGTCTGCTCCTCTCTGACTTCCCAGATATCATTGCAAATTTACCTGCCCAGTAATTAGCCACAGGGGAGGGCAGTGTTTACAAGAGGTGGATTTATGCCAGAGGCTGGGGGGATGGTGGTTGTCGTCCCCCCCACCACCCTCACGGCACTGTTCTGCTGCCTGAGAAGATGCGAGGTTGCAGGTTGCCCCTCCTGGCTCTACAGCCACTTGCTGTAAAGCCCTACAAGCACGTCCTTGCTGGAGCTGTCACTGGACTAGTGCTGTGTTAAAGCTTTCTTAATCTCAGAGCTCAATGCTGCTAGAATATCTTGGAGCCTTGCAATGTAACCACAGAGAAATGTCCCTGAAAAATGTAGCACCGCCATCCTACACCCAGAGAGAAGCTGTCCCTGGGCACAACCTACTCCAACTGTAGTGTCTAGCAATCATAGTCGCAGAGATGCTGAGAAATCAAGACAACAATTACAGATCTGGAAGAAAAATGTCAGGAAATGGAATCAGAGAATAACTGACCAAAATACTTTTATAGCCACTTAATCTATGCTAGAAAATGAATGCAGAGGGGAAGAAAGAAGACATTTTCAAGCTGTGCCTGAGACTAAATTGAAGTCATCACCTCAAAACGCAGACTAAGAGAAAATATGGCACTAAGCAGCAGTAGGAGGGAGTGAAGCTGGAGCAGATATGTTCCCCTACACTGGCTTCAGGACTGACAGCAGTGCTTTGGCTCCCGTCACCAGGGCAGAGGCATATAAATTGAAACAAGTTCACCTGAGAGTTGCAGGGAGGGTGAGGAGAGCGGAGAGGGTGTTTTTCCAGCGAGAAGCTATGACAGGTAGTGGTTTGTTCAGCCTCGCAGAGCAAAGGTTGAAATGGATATGATCATTCTCTGCAAATACAGGAGGGAATGACAACTAGGGAGAGAGAACAGGTATTTGAAAAAAAGGACAATTTAGACCTGAGATCAAATGGATATAAGCTGACCAAAGTAGACCTTGGCTGCAAATTACAGGAGCAGGTTTGCTAGTCATCAGAGGAGTGAGTTACTGAAACAGCTTATCAATACGATGACCTGACTGATACCTGAGTGAAAGGTCTCATATAAAGTGGCTACCAGTGGTCACAGGAGACTAGAATTGCCCATCAAGCTCTCATTAGGTTCTGGTTTCTGCTTCCCTTAACAGCAATGGGACCAGAACATTATCTTCTCCCCAGCCACAGGCAGGGGTGATTTTTCCTGTGACTTGAAATTGCACAAGATTTGTTCTCAAAAAAAGTCTTTGTTTACTTCAGAGAATGGAGATGATGTAGATGGGGAAAGGATTGAAAATCCTCATAGAAAAAAACTACCACTGGCTCTAGTTAGCAACATGATCTTGAAAACCTTGAGATTTGACAAGTTTCTGTAATATGGAAAATCTTTAATCAAAATCATTGCAATTGTCATTTTTCCACCAGTGGCTACACGAAGCCCCACTGGGGCAAAATCAAAACAGTGGAAATTGCACTCCCATCTGTAGTATTATCTCACACCCTGGGAAAAATCCCAGAACCCAAGTACTGCATGAACAGATGGGAAACAAAGCAAAACAGCTGATGACTCCACATAATGAGTCTTAATGGCCAGGGGAGGGGGAAAAAAAAACCTAACCAATAACAAAAATCCATTCAGAATATATCTGTTTATTAAGATTCGGCTCAGTGAAGTTTGAAATGGGCAAGGCAATAAACATGCAAACCAGCATTAATACATTAACAGCAAAGTCAGTTCATTCCAAGAGCTTGGCCATATCTGTTTGATAATCCTGGGAGCAGCAGTAGCAACAGATACTTCTCCTGTTTTGGGCCATCTCTTCCAAACGGTCTGCAGCCATAGGGAGCCTGTCACTTACGAGCTGTGGGATTTGAGAGCAATGTAAATGGTGTGAAAATTTGGAGCGCAGGGAAGAAAATCACCTCCCTTTCAGCTGTGGCCAAACCTTCTGTGAGCCCTGATGGTCAGAAAGGGGCCTTGGGTTGCTGTAGTCAACAAGAAGCTAAACCAAAAGTCAAGCGGTTTCCTGCAGCACTCATGCTGGATTTTGTCCATGAGCTGTTGTTTTTGGGAGCAGCTGGAGGTTTTATCTGGGTGTGCAGCACAATGAATAGTTGTGGAGAATGGTTAAGCCTCGCAGTTAAAGAGTCAGAGAGTGCTCTTAACATATCACTGTGCCAATAGGGCATAGACTTTTGGCCAGCCACAGTGGGAGAAGCATGGCCGGATCTATTTGGGTACCTGCCTGCAGTGAGGGAGCATTTCCAGCTGCAGAGAAGGATACAGTCACTGGGGAACATGTGAAGGAGCTCAGTTCTTTGAAGAGTTTCCTTTTTCCCCAGTCATCACCCTACTCTTATGCATGGGTCCAGCAGCAGTAAGTAACCTGCAGCAGCACGTTGCCTCCCTGTGACTTGCCTTTCATGACAAGATCTGCCTTTCTGCAGCTGCATCTGGGTCACTTCTTGATGTCTGAATGTTCAGGCTGCCTAAAATATTGCATTGTAAATTATGTCTTCAGTCCAAGTGACGAAGACTGTTCCCTGCCTTTGCTCGTTCCCTGTGTAGTCTCCAAGCACAGCCTGGGAGATGACTGTTCCTTCTCTCTCCCAGGCATCAAA